TGAGCTTTAAGTGTATTTGAAGGAATGGATGGACCGGTCTCTCTTATCCAGCTTGGTCGAGGCCGATGCACAAAGGGAGACAACTCTTGTCAGACTATTAGCGAGCGTTTATCAGCCCGATTTTACCCAGCCGAATTGCGTAGCTTATCTTTTCGCAGCAATTAGTGCAGCTACCGACAACCTATAAATGTACACCACGAGCTACACACCAGCAGACAGTACCAATATCAGATGAATGGACTTTGCCAGCAACTACTTACGTTCACCAGTTTGCCAGTTAAAACTCGGGGTCGAAACAAAGACAACATGCACTTCTTTTTATCACCGACGGAAACCATGGCAACGGCTGGCAAAGCAGGATGTGCTTCCTTATTTGTAGTCGTTTTCATGTTTGTTTACAGTTCTATGGAAACAAATGGTCCCTGTCGAGAAATCCTAACCCCTATACATTTTAACTTGCTGCAAATGACCTTAAGGTATATCTGTCCATTATAACCGGCACTGCATGTGTAGCCTATAGACTGCAACTTCTCTTTCTGGGATAAACTTCTGTGAAATAACAGCAAAGGGAATCGGAAGACTTGGATATTTCTGACTGAAAACGAACCCTCAACTTTCCATACTGGTATTGATCTTTACAGGGCTTTAGAGAATTGACTGCGTGTTTTCAAGAACTAACAGACACGACGTGGTAGTGAACTACAGTATATCCGACGTTGGGACACATAGGCATTGATTTAAAACTTATAAATCGTCAGGTATTTGATACCATGAGAAGCAGCTATAGCTGGCTGTTTGACGTTGCCGGAAACATTCGATGACGCCTCGTTCTGACTTCGTCTCCATGTAGTTACCGTTGTCGTTGCCAACGGTCCCCCTCTGTTTTTAACAGAATCGCCATTGCTCTTGCTACCTATCGCTCTGCATTTCGTTGACTACAGCATCGTTCCGAGTTCTGCTACTGACAAGATGTTTACAAGGCTGCATATTCAAGGTATTTAAGCATTCATTCATTGTAATTTAAAGTGTTTAAAGTGTAGATTACCATTGAAATTGGCCGTAGTTTGACAGCAGTAACGGTGGGGATGACTGGCCGCCATTTGCAATTTTGTGAAAATTCCCAAATGTGTATCTGTTTAATGTCTTTTCTGCCCGCGAAATGAGAGCTCACGGTATTTATATACGACGGAGGGTATTGTTACAATCCTGTAGACATGTTTTTTACTATTTATAAGACATAGTTCGGGCATATTTTTTCTGTCCACTTTTCATTCAAATAGTTGGCCCATAATGGCTTTAGTAATAGATGGATTGTATACCAAAGCAGCGATTAAATGCCCATTATTATTCTTGTGGCCTATACTTGTCCCGAAAGAGATTCCATTGGCTCCATGGTCTATATTATCGGCAATCCGCTTGTCCACTATCGTTTCGACGGCCCCTAAATCATTTTGGTTGTAGTCGCCGTAGTCTTCATGTATTTAATGCGTATTTAAATGTGTTGTTTTGGTTATTTTCAGCACGGGAAGATATGATCCGGTATCATGTCACTCCTGCTGCTAGTCTATGGCCGTCGCTGGATGAGGAATCCGACTGTGTATGCATTTTATCTACATCTTCTTTAGCTGGGACGGAATAGTTTGCTTCTTTTGTCCAAGTTTCCATAATCGTCGTATGCATAATAGAGGCATTTTATTGTATTTTCTGTGTTATGGTGTGCTGAAAATCAGTGCTCGGGTACCCCTCTCCCATTTACACGTTAACTTTCTAACAATCTGTTAGCACAGCCTGTTTGTCTTGGGATACTGTATCCTAAAGTGTGTAATCTGGGACTATGCACTATGACCTTTTCTGACATTGTTTTTTATAAACAACTCCTATAAACCTCGCCCAATGACCCTCCTTTCTCCCACCCTCCCCACTCACCGATGTAGCGTCCCTGGCTTCGTCCCCGAGCCCCTCTCCCGACCCCTGAGTGTTTTCACCCCGTTCTGGGCCCGCCCTGACCACGGCGAGACGCTCC